GCTAAATGTTGCATTTTTAATGCAGCAAAAACGCTGTATAAGGCAGTACGCAGTTCTTAAGGAATTTGCTACGCTTTCTACTACGGTTTTCTAAAGTTTTTTTGTGAAAAAAGAGCACAGGGCAACCCAGGTTTGCAACAGAAATATATGCCCGTTCCATTATTTCTTGAGGAAAGAGTGAGACAACAGGCTGTGAGGTACCAAAAATGTCAAAATTCCTTGGACACATACACGAAATAATGGCAATTTTTTCTTGAGATCTGCATACAGGGCATTAACTCGGATAAATAGCCGAGTTTGTGTTTTTGCTTTGCGTGTATTTCGTCATTTAAGCGAGTGTTCTTTTGTAGCTCGATCGCAAAAGAATGGACCTTATAACGAATTTATCATGAAACTTTATAGGGCATTCGCACCAGTGATCGGACTACAAAAAAATTATGTGTGGTAGAATCAGGAAAAAAATGTGGTAGATCTCCGGTTTTGGATCAAACTTTGTACAAAAATTTAAGAAATTCTGTAAGGTTTCACCTAAATTGCAAACTTTTTAATAAGACTAAAAAAATTAATTCTAGTATAACAAAGTGCAATATTGAAGTTGCTAAAAATTGCGTTGTGTTGGCAATTTTTTCCCTTGACAGTGTAAAGCAGGTTCCCTTCATATTAAGATATTTTTCGAACATATTTTAAAAGATTTCTGTAATCTTGCGGAGTGCTGCCAGCTGCCAGCTTTTCTTTTTTATCACATAACAGCTAATTAGGATTTGCGGATTTTGACAATTCTCAAGTAAAAGTAAACAAGGCTTTAGAAAATTTAGATGCACTTAAATTTGCTAATACTTTAACAAAAATCGCCGTCGGCATATATGTAATACTCCTATATTGGCAGTAAGAGCTAGTACCGTCCGAAAACACTACAGTACAGATATATCAATAAACACGTACGAAAGAAAAGGAACACATACGTTTATAAATAAACATGTACACGACACATTTACAAAACCGGCACTCAAGTACACAATACATTGACAAAAACAGTACTAGACTGTCTCGCTTTGATTTCGGAATGCTTACACATTGAGATGTTAGCTTACTATCAATATAGAAGTATTACATATATGGCCGTCGGACTTTTATCAAAAAGTTCTTTAAGAAACTATTTTTATTCATAAAAACTCCATTATTGGAGGTATTTTCAAATCGATCCAGCTCACTTAAATCTTAATATTTTTCTGAAATATTTTGGCGGACGTCTTAAAATATAATATATTTTATAATTCTAATGGAAAAATAGTACCGATTTTTCTTTGTATGGGGAGTGATGCAGTCTATTGTACACAAATCACACGTGAACATTGAAAAGATCGTGCAGTTATGCAAGTACAAGTGATAGCTACACTTTTTATATGGAAATTTGCTAATGGAAGTGCAAAAAATTTAAACAACAAATTACTTAAATACTAAATAAAGTTTTGTAATCCTGGCGGAAAAACCGCAACTTTTTTTGGTGATGCAGTCTAGTGTACAATAAATGTATTTTATTTAATTTTTTAACAATATAAAACGCGTTTAACCCTTTCACCAGAGAATGTTAATTAAATTAAATTAAATTAACATTCTCTGATTTCACCACTTTTTGTCAACAAAGTAAACAAGCAAACAAATCAAAATGGTTGTATTAACAGAGAATGTTAAGGTAATGGGAAGAAGCAAATGTAAATGTTAAATTTGTTTAGTACTACTAAATTCTGAAAGGTTTGAGATGCGAGAGTTCACCAAAATAAATAGCCCTGTTCGCGTACGCACTTTCCAGTAAATCCAGTACTAATTTTACTGGTTTTTTACTAGATGTCGTTTTTGTACGCAAAATCTTGCAAGAAACTAGCAAAAGTGGGGAAATTGAGAGAGCAAAAATTACAGCTGAACTTGCAAGTTTTACTGGATTTTTACTGGATAAATTTTTACTAGCAACTATTTGCTAGTAAGAAAAACAGCTGATGGCATGATGCTTAATATAATTCACATTACCAAAATAATTGTTTGTGGTGCTTTTACAGTTGCAATTGACAAAATAAACCTATTTAAATACATATATAATAAGATGGAAAATACAAGTTTTCTAAGAAAATTGCAACGGAAAATAACAAATTAATCAGCTGTTCATAAAACTAGCAACTTCTTGCTTGTTTTGCGTTTTCGTACTTTCTTGCATATTTCACTCATTGGGAGTAAATAGCCCTGTTCGCGTACGCACTATCCAGTAAATTCAGTACTAATTTTACTGGTTTTTTTACTGGATGTCGTTATCGTACGCAAAAACTTGCAAGAAACTAGCAAAAGAGGGGAAATTGAGAGAGCAAAAATGACAGCTGAACTTGCGAGTTTTACTGGATTTTCACTATATAAATTTTTACTAGCAACTAGTTGCTAGTAAGAAAAGCAGCTGATGGCATGATGCTTATTGTAAATCACATTAAGAAAATAATTGTTTGTGGTGCTTTTAGAGTTGCAATTGACAAAATAAACCTATTTAAATATATAATATTTCACTCATTGGGAGTAAATATTGGCTTACCCTCCGAAATTTGGTTACTGGCAAGTTACTGGATATTTTTTGCTAGAGAATACCAAAACACAACTAATATTGGTTTACAATCCAAAATTTGGTTACTGGCAAGTTACTGGATATTTTTTGCTGGAGAATACGAAAACACAACTAATATTTGAGATGCGAGAGTTCACCAAACTAAAAGCGCAGTTAGTCAACGACGTAAAATCTTAGAACGTGTCAGCTGACTCGATCTATCTTATGAGAGCACCATGTAAATGAAAACTCAACGACGTTGAATTTTGA